ATTTTGTAAGATGATGTATTTTGTACAAGTCTGAAACAAAGTTTATGTTTTGTTCTGTTTTAAAAGAAAATGTACATGCGTAAGTACATATCTACCTAAATTACTATCAATGTGTCCGAAGTCATTATTGTGTTTCTTGTCTCAGATCTCTAAAGCATTTAAATAGAAAATCTAGAACTAAATTCTATATGGCAAATAGACTTAAAACTACCATTTACTGTTACAAATATGTTTTTAAACCCTTAAATCTAAATCAGCAGATTATACATAATTTCATTATCTGATTATGGTAACTTCTTACCTTTGAATAATATCTTGTATATCTCTAGCTGGAACACCCTTCAAACGTGAATAAAAACAAAGATCATCATTGACGAGGTAGTAACGACGTCTGCTACGATGAATTCCGAACAAACGTTTAAGACTACATGTTTCCCAAAGTGATGTTCCACACCAGTAAGAGCTTGTGAATGGAAAATACCATGGCTTTGGTATACCATAAGATCCTAAAATAATAATAAAGAGTGCCATAAGATTATACCATAAGATCCTAAAATAATAATAAAGAGTGCCATGAGATTATACCATAAGATCCTAAAATAAAAATAATAATAAGTGCCGCGGCCTTAATATACCATAAGTTCCTGATGTAATGGAAATCACTTTGATATACAAATTTAATAACCTGTCTCTTGTATACACAAGTTTCTTAAATAATAGAAAATACAAAGACTTTGTTATACTGGAAGTTCATTAAATTATGAAACAATACCATGGCTATAGTAGACAGTATGTTTCTGAAATATTATGAGCCTTGATATATACTAAACATTCCTAGAGCCTTTACTTAAACCGAAATCATCAGAGTTATGTAAATACCGTAGTGACAACACAGCCAAGGCTTTGCACAAAATGATACATAATGTATAATAAAGTGCAAGTAATTATGTCTTCAATACCATTAAAAAATAATTTTTACGCATGTTTTCATGAATATTTATTTTCCTCGACTGGTTGCAGAAAAATGTAGTAGCTTTGTCTATCACAACATTCGGATTTCAATTATTTAGACACATTGATTTAATTCGAAGTAAATTTTCAGTCCAAGGCAATTCTAATAATCAGGGTTAAACTGTATAGACCCTTTCATTTAAGACCGTATTCAACTTGTCGCCCTTGGATGACGTTATTGGGGGAGACGGTGGACAATGCCGATACGATAAAGTGCAGTAATAGAGGGATATACAGATCTTAATCCTTTTTCTTTTAAGATTGGCAGATTGAAATTGCCAAAATTTTGTGTAATTGAATAAGATATTACATAAAAAGGATGGTGAAATGAATAAATATGTTTACTATAATAAGGGTAATAGTAGACCATATTCCTGCATGTGTAACTGATCATGATTTTCATTAGATTCTTAAATTTAATAATGAAAATTTTACCAGGCAGTTAAATCGTACTAACTTGCTTATACCAGAGATATAGATAATGTATCTATGTCTCTGCTAATATACAATACCCAAAAGATATTTTGATTTTGAAAAATGTAAGGATTCTGTAGTTTCGAAAAACGGCTGCGTAATAATTAATTGCAAGATACTGGTTTATTAAAAATCATTTTGATTTAAACATTACTAAGACAAAGAAAAGACAAGCAATTATCATAGTATTGCAAGCAATCAATAAGTCCCCTACCGGTAAGAGCCCAAGCAACATTCTGAAGGGCCATTGGCCATTCACTTAGGTTCCTATTTTAAGTAAATTTGTTGAAAAAGTTCTTTAAAAATGATCACAGGAAACAGTTTTTATGTACAGACAGACGGACTGAAGGACACTCTAAAGTTATTTTTTAAACATCCCTGTTATCAAAATATAACATTTTAAAAAAATCCTATCATGATTGAAGAAGTTGGAGTAAATTACCAATTTCTCAAAAAAAAGTCTAAGTTCAAAAGGGGCATAATTCTGGAAATAGTCTTGCTAGAGTATTGAACACTCACAAATGTTGAGTGACAATAAGAAACATTTATATGAAGTTTGAAGTAGATACATTCAGAAAAGAAGTTATTAAAAAAAACAATGTTTTTTTCATGAAAATCTTAAGTTCAAGGGCGGTAATTCTGATAAATTTTGTGCTAGAGTTGTAAACCTTGTCACATATGATGTGGTTGATGACAAGCAACTTATATTTAAAGTTTGAAGAAAATACCTTAAGAAATAAAGAACTTATAGTGAAAAAACTTAAAAACTAGAATCAGAAATCTTGAAATTCAGTCTATTTGTTGCCATAGCAACCAGAATTTTTCAACATAGGAAGATAAAAAAGGATGTGCATAATTTCCATACTGCCATCTACCCATATGTCAAGTTTCATAAACATATTTTCAGTACTTTTTGTGTTATCACTGGATCCAGGTTATGTGTAAAATTTGCCATATTTTCAGTCTATTTGTTGCCATAGCAACCAGAATTTTCAACATAGGAAGAAAAGAAAAAAACGTGCATAATCTCCATACTGCCATCTATCCATATATCAAGTTTCATAAAAATATTTTCAGTACTTTTTGCGTTATCGCGGGATCCAGGTTATGTGTAAAATTTGCCATATTTTCAGTCTATTTGTTGCCATAGCAACCAGAATTTTCAACATAGGAAGAAAAGAAAAAGACGTGCATAATCTCCATACTGCCATCTATCCATATATCAAGTTTCATTAAAATATCTTCAGTACTTTTTGCGTTATCGCGGAATCCAGTTTTGTGGACGGACGGACAGACGGACGGACGGACGGACAGACGGACGGAGGGTAAACCTAAAGTCCCCTCCGGTAAACCGGTAGGGGACTAAAAACAATATAAATCTATGTAATTTAAAAAAAAATGTAAAGGCATAAAAAGTAAAAATTCTTTTGAATGTACATGACTGTATACTATTTGTGTCGGCAAAAAATGCACTCTCTAAAATCGTACATCACACCAATATATTTAAGCTGGTAAAGTAATATTTTCAACTTGATACTTTTTAATTCATACTCTCTTTTTTATCAAATATTTATAAAAAAAAGAAAAAACAAGTTGTGAAACACGTTCACAGAAATTCGTAATTAACTGAATTATAATTTTACGTATTTTTGACTGTGCCAGTTGTTAGGACTCTTGATCGAGTATAATCAAATCGGTAAGGCATGACCAATAAAGTCCCTAGGATGATCCATAACAAAATTCGGACCATAAATATTTTGACAACTAACAAAAGTGACGTAATCTGGTGTAATGTAATAACTCTAAAAAAATGCACCCTGGTAATTTATGATATCACAGGCAAGTGCCGCTTGTATATACAACATATGCAACCTGTTAATTAATATGTTACGGCCCAGTGGCGCTTAAATATACACATCTATTTATCTATGAAATAAGTTACTGGGAAAAGGTCTATAAAGAATAGATTTTTAATATCAAAATTATCTTATTATCGTCTGTTGTGAATCTAAAATTATAAGTCAATGCCACATGGTTTTCGTTCTATCCGGAATATTTATAAAATAATATCCTTCACTGGTTCTTTGAAATATTGTTTTATACGGCATAATGAAGTATTGCCAGAATGCATTCTGTTTTTGTTCTATTAAAGCTTGAAAAACAATTATTAAAAGACATTGGCAATCTTATTTTCAGGTTTGTCACAAATACGCCGGAATTTTCTAAATGACAGAAAATAACACAGAAAACTAGAAAATGGCCATTTAAATTTATAATAGGCAATTTCAGTTTGTATGGGTGTTTATAGAATATTAAAATTTGATTTAGTTTCTAGCTTTTTATCCTGGCATTAGAGAAAATCTATATCTAATAAATATATTCACTTTGAAATTTCGCTGTTTCACTTCGTAGCGAGAATTAATCTCAATCTTTGTTTTTGTATTCTTTTTCTATTGTCTTGATATAAAATTTATGTATGCATGCGTAAATTTTTACATGTTATAATCATAACTGAACGATCAGTATTTACGCATTTAACTTTTCATTAAGCTAACTGTCTATGCGGCATGCATAGTTTTATCCCCCATTTACGTCACATCCGGTAAGGGAAGTAACTCGTCACTGACTGTTATCGCTTAAATGAAAGGGTCTATAGGGTGTAACTAAGTTGATGGCAGTTTCGATGTAAACACTAGAAAATCCAGGATGATTTGCAAGAAAAACGGTTAATTACATTAACTGGTTAGTTCTGAATAGAATAAAAGACAAAGTTCTAATTTAACTTTACCTGGATGTACATTCTCTATATACCAGGCCAGTATAAAGTAAACAACTGTGTCCACTGCTATTATTATCAACACAATCTGTAGACTAAAATTATCATATTCCCGTGGCGACACATGCAGGTTCTCCCACTGTACACCTGAACCTTCTAACTCATAAAACAGGAACTACTTCCCTCCTAGACCCAGAGCTGATTTCCGGAAAAATAAGTTTTATAACTGAGGTTAAAAAAATACAATGTTTTCTGTTTCATTAATTTCAATTTTCTTATTTTTAAGACAAAATATCCCTCAGAAATGTTCTTATTTTTATTTCACAAAGTATTTTTAGTTTTGGTGTTCTGTTGTAGTATATAGACAGTTTATAACTCACTGGCCATTTCATAACTGAACCATATTTTGGTTTTATTGCCTTCTGTGAATTAGAAACATTATAGTGACTTAGTATTTTGGTTTAACTACAGAATTTATTTAAGTTTGATTGTGTATGAACCTATAAGCTTATAATAGACACACTTTTCAAATCTGCTCCTGGAACCAACCTGTACTGAGGTAAATGTGTCTAAAATGTCCTGCTCAAGGCTGCAATGTCTAATGCCCTTGACAAATTTTACTTTTGTTATAATCTTTAAATTCTACACTTAACTTTCTAGTGTGTCACTTAGTTACAGCAGGGTAAGGGCCAACATGTATTATTGTTCATGAAGTTTTATGTCAGATACTTACAGCTATAGTTTTAATGTATGCTGGTATCCTGGTCCGCGTTAAATCCTCTCTGATGGCTATATACATGTATGGTGTATGTTATAAAGTAAAATATACCCGCACATGCTGCAGCAAGTTTAGCTCGTGAGAACATACTGTCAATTAAAAACCTGAAATACAACAGAAAACAAGAAAACAACTAAGATGCTTTTTACTCAATTTTGGCTTCAATAACACCAATTATTGATTTTCAATATATTGAATTTCGGGTATATTTTTTTATTGTTTTATCATATTTTTCCGTTTACACTATATTATATGTTATTTTTGTTTTGGTGTGATATATGTGGATATATTACCTGTTAAGATTTTATATCATCCGAGCCGTTTATCTTGGCAGGTAATATATCCACATATATCACTCCAAAACTAAAATAATAATTTTATTACCCTTCCCCTGCCGGGTTAAGACAATTTTGATATAAATCATTGCTACTTCTTATGAAACGTCGAAATAAGATTCCCTTTAAGGTCCCCTTCACCACAACATGATGTCACATAAATACATGACGTATGTTCTTTCGAACCTAACGAAAGTTAACAAGAGAAAAGGAGTAGTCTGTTGAACGCACTTTTTTGGAATTAATATCAAGCTTTCACAAGGTCATATTTGTTTTCAATACTGATGAGAATATGTATCATTACTCTATTTTGGTAAATATTTATCATTTGACAGTTAAAAAGTGCTTGTAAATCGAAATTTAGTGTGTATATTACCCGTCTGGCTCGGTAATATCAATTTCTTTTGGGTGACCAATATCCAATCAAAAAGGAGAAAAAAATCTGGAAGGGTAATAAAAGATTTTTAAATATCACGTTTTCAGGCTTTACGACCAAAGTCTAGTTCCTTTAAGTGATATACTTACGAAAAAGCAATAGAAGACAGGGCAAACATTTCCAGGAACATAAACACTATGACTGGATTACTATGTGATAGTACACTTCCATAGTATAACATCAACGTCAGCGTTACCACGGTAACAGTCATCTGTACTGCGGCAGTTATAAACCACGCCCACCAGTGTACACTGTCTGATAAGCCCATCATCTTCATTACCTGTAACTATGAATAAGTTTTATAATATACTTGTGGAATACAAAACTAATGAGTGAAATATAACCTATACTGTTTATCATATATATCATTAACCCTACATCACTCATTTCTGAAACAAGAGGCCCATAGGGCCCTGGATCTCTCACCTGACAAATAGGTCAAACGGTCAAAGTGGAGCCCCTTTTCACCCCAGAAGCTCAATTTGAAAACAAGGAACAGCATAATCTGAACATTTTTTGTACACTGACACCAGGAAAATTTTGGTGTAAAATTATTTTAAAATTGAACCAGTGGCTGAGATGTTGTTTAGCTCTTGTTTTCTAATTTTAGCTCTGGCAACCATTTTATCAAACAGTTCAGTCTGTAGGCTGTGAAAGGTAAAGCTAATAAAAAGATGACAGAAAAAAAGAAGGAAAACAAACATTTGACATGCCTGGGGATTGAACTGTTGACCTTAATCCCCTGAGGTGGGGTCAATTATCACCTTAGGGGTTTTATTTCAACAAACATGGTAGAAATACACTAAAACGTGTTTCATGCCAAATATCAAAATTTTTTCAGTTTTTACTATACACATAAGAGAAAAATCAATGACCCTTTGGGCCGGGCTTATTTTGACCCTAGGACTTTTAAAAGCACAAAGTTGGCAGACATCTATTAGAAGATGTTTTATGCCAAATATCAACGCTCTTTTGGATTTTCACAAGAAGTTTTTATTTTTAATTTTTACTATATACATGACTATATATATAAGGAAAATCAATGACCCCCCTGGGGTGGGGCCAATTTTGACCTTAGAGCTTTTATTTGAATAAACATGGTAGACATCCATTAGAAGATGTTTCTAAATTGCCAAATATCTAAGCTGTGGCTCTTTTGGATTTTCACGAGAAGATTTTTTAGTGTTTAGTTTATACATATAAGGAAAATCAATAAATCAATTAAAAGCAAGTTCAGTTTTCTTGTTTATAGAATATTCTGCTTCAGTGTGACATTTTTAATAAACAAGTATACTATAATAAATATACGTTCATAAATGCTTGTAAAATATTTTATGTAAACCAAAAAAAAAACATTTTAAGGGATATTTAACAAGCAATATCAGGAGAGCAAAAAAAGTCATTTGAAGACAAAAGAAATGCAAAATATAAGAGGTACAATATGTTAACAAAAATTTTCAAACCTCTTAATCTTTTCTCCTTTTCATAGACATTTTCTGTACGAGCATAGCGACTGAATAAACCCATGACAACATTAAACATAGCAGTATAATATGTTGTATTCTTCAGATAAATCTGAAATCAAACATTTAATGTCATATAGAGGATATTTGTTTTGCATGTAAGATTGAGATATATTTCACTGAGTGAACACCAGATGCAATATTTACACGAGTGGCATAGCCACGAGTGAAAATAGAATAGCTGGTGTTCACAAAGGAAATATTTTTAAATCTTATATATAAAACAAATAAATTTTCTCTTTATTTCATGCTTTTTAAGTGATTTTAAGTATTTTTTACTGATTTTGCCGTGTAACGTCTTGCATTCTCCTTTATGACGTCATCACATCATGATGTCACATCATCAATTTTGAAATATAGTTCTGTGAAATTTCTCTAAAGCTCCATCGGCAGACGGGCAGGCAGTGAACCATTGCTTATTTAACAGAGTATCAAGGGAGACAACTCACGCATCCCACAGCCAACACAGATATGGCATTCTGTGTAGAAAAGTTCCTGGACTGGTTACCGGCTTTCCAACCTGAATATCAATAATTGCTCTCTCTACCATGTCCTGTATGAATGAAAGTTCCTGGGCTGGTTACCGGCTTTCCAACCTGTATCTCAATAATTGCTCTCTCTACCAGGTCCTGTATGGATGAAAGTTCCTGGACTGGTTACCGGCTTTCCAACCTGTATCTCAATAATTGCTCTCTCTACCATGTCCTGTATGAATGAAAGTTCCTGGACTAGTTACCGGCTTTCCAACCTGTATTTCAATAATTGCTCTCTCTACCAAGTCCTGTATGAATGAAAATTACTAAATATGAATTATGAATAATGCCAGGAATTTAACAGTATTATGGTGCTTATTAATTTGCTCCAAGTTTGTGCACGAGCCAGCAGAGCTTTTGGTCATGCAATGAATATTTCAAAGCAGTCAATTATGACAGAAGTTTTCATAGTAAAATGTTTGCGGAACTCAAGAGGTATTGTGGTCTGCAGTTCTTCTCTTTCTGGCCAATATATGAAATATATGAAATGTTTCATTCTAACAAACATAGTATGTATAACCAAAGTAAATATTCTTGATAGTGTGGAGGATAAAGTCTTAAATCTATATGCCAAATCTTACAATGGGAAATTATGTTTCAGTCTCATAAGAGTGAGCAACATATTCTCAAATGCCTCAAGACACATATTCTTTTTCATTTAAAGAAATGGTGACACAAAATCCATAACCACCATCAAAGTCAGAAAATACTGAAAGCCTGTGTAATATTTTACTTCCTCATTGTCTTCATGTAGAATGAGTTCAGTTCTGATTTTAAAGCCTCATTCTCCGACAACACTCTCTGAATTTCAGAATTATTATTTAATGCTTTCCAGTGTTTTATTGTAATATATATCAGATAATTATATTCTGATAAACCACTAGTGAAATTTATAATTTTCACTGTAGCCGGACTATATATCTGAATGCAGATGAAAAGAAAATCTAAAACTAAAATAACAGGCAGAAATAAATGCTGTCATGCGTAAATTTCGCTTCTTTAGGAAAATAAAGTCGATGTCATCATACATAATGTTAAAAATGTAACAAAATTAGAGAAGTGTAACAGACCTATATTTCAAAATTGATGATGTGGCGTCATGATGTGATGACGTCACAAGGGAGAATGCTGGACGTTACACGGCAAAATTAGTAAAAAAGTACATAACGCCCCATGAAAGCAAAAAGGTACCAAGTGACATTTTCATGTTTTCGAGAAAATCGCGTTTAAAGATTTGAAGTTCCATATCAAATCAGGTTTTTACAACATGGCAAAGAAACTTCACATATATTTAGATAATATTTGAATGTACATGCTTAAAAAGTTGGAAAGCTTATTTATAACTAATTAGTGATAATTAATCAATTAAAGGAAATGGTTCCTTTTTGCACTAATAAATATTTTGACTGACAAATGCAAGAAGGTACCATATGAACGCTTGGCCCCTTTTTGCATTGTATGATTTTTAACATTTGCTGTCGAATATATCAAAAAAAGGTACCATATGGCAGTTGGCACCTTTTTGTCCCATCAATATTAACAAAAAGCATCATTTGGTTACAATTTTATTCTACAATGATACAAATAATAAATATGAAATTCTTGTGTTTTCAGTAAATGTCTGATACAACTATCACACTACATGTTTTGAAAGTCTTCCTCTGAGACCAATCTCAATGCCTATGTCAAAATCTCTTACATTGTTAGTAAAAACCAGAATCATTCTCATCCGATTCCATCGTGACATAATCCTTTTCTTTCCTGTATGTTTTTAAGTGGCATTATAATTATGGAACTCTTTTTGGATAATTTTCTTTGCACACAAAGTAACCAAGTTATTTTTCTTTTGAATAGAAACTGGAGGTTTGGTATCATAACTTCATATATTGTTCACTATTTGTCCACTAATACTTTATGATTCTGTATTCTGAGCTTCTATTTCCATAAAATCTTCAGCATTAAAGCTCTAATTTACAAATACTGATTTTGGGCTTCCCTTTGGTACCTGTATCCATTCCACTTGTAGCCAGTTTACTCTTTGTCCGTCAATGGATGTTTTGAGTCTCGGACACTGTTTTTTAATGAAGTATTTGAAATCAAAAACATGGTTATATTTCATTGGCACAGCAATGTATGGCTGTGATTTTCTGGCCAGTGATATAAGAGAACACAACTGAATGATACATAATTATACAGAAATTATTTTCTTTGCCCCTTCAAGAGTCAAGTTGTCACTCCATCTGTGAGTGACCCGATACAAGAAATTTGTGATAAATCTTAAACTTGGAACTTGTGATAATATAAAAGAAGAGACGAAGCTATGAATCAATTTCTGTTTTGTCCCCCGTATGAATCTGAAAAGTAAATGACTTATTTGACATAACCAGTTTGGCAAGTAGAAAAGGGTTTTTTATCAAGCAGGATGCTATTTTACATGCCTCTCTTTGCAGTTGGTTTTATCCCATACATGACTGCAACATTTTTGTCTCATAAGAATATACTGTCAAGTTGTGTAGCAACAGAGTTTTCTTAAATAGTAAAGCTCACTCACTAATGAGCAAGGGGTTGTTATGACGGCCTTGAGATCAAAACATGCAACATAAACGCATGTGTCACCTTTTGCTAAAACTTTATTTTAAATCTTTTCTTCTTGTGAATTTTCTTTCTGTTTTTTGATGTTCAATATATTGTTCCTTGATCGTGCCATCTAGTGTGTTTACTGCCTACCTATATGTATGTTGCTTAATAGGTTTTGTTTCCTTCTTTTCACTTTCAATAGTTTACAGTTTCCACATCTTTCTAATGTTTAAGTCATAGTCATAAGATAGGTATTGTTTCTTTCAGTTTTTTTCTTGTATAATGAGATTTCATTTTAGGAAATTACTCTTTATGCTGTTTCATCAATTTAACTATATCATAATCTAGTTTATTTGCAGATGTACGCTTCCCTATCATGCTTCTCCTTCCATATAGTTGGCAAGAGTACAGTCAATTACTTTTCTTTTTAAGTCCACATTTTTGTGAAGAAGTCATTTATACACTATCATTATCTTCGCACTGTTATCATTCCTCAATTTAAAACAGAAACAATACTCTGGGACTTATATTTGATGGCCTTAGCAACATCTATATTGTTTTTTTCATTAAAAAGCTAAAAGGTACCAAGCAAACAATTTAATATATAAAATAATCTTAAGGGTCGTAAATTCTTTGTGTGCAGAAAGGGACCAAGTGACACATAGTTCCTTTTTGCATTAAAATAAATGCTCAAAACATATATAGTCATATAATGCAAAAAGGTACTATGTGACACTTGGTACCTTTTTGCTCAAACTGATATGCATATGGTACCTTTTTGCATTACTAAATGGGAAAATATTGACATAGTACCTTTTTACATAACCTTATATGTCTGTAAATAAACATGATACTATAGAGATATTTCTACAGATTAAAGATAACATTAAAACATAATGAAAAATGTTAAAAAGTCAATTTTGGCCAAAATGTCGCTTGGTACCTTTTTGCTTTAATGGGGCGATAATATCACTTAAAAACCATGGAATAAAAAGAAAATTTATTTGTTTTACATACAAGATTGAAATATATTTCATTCGAGAACACCAGCTATTATATTTTCACTCGTGGCTACGCCACTCGTGAAAATATTGCATCTGGTGTTCACTCAGTGAAAATATATTTCAATCTTACATGCAAAACAAACAAATATCCTCTATATTTTACTATCTCATTCATTTTATGTTTCTTGATCATTTTCCTTACATGGTTGTAAAGACTTCCCAGGGCCTTCTGTTTTCCCTTTCCAAGTAAATGTACATGTCTCTGTTTCTACTTCATTGAATTCAAAAATTACTGATTCGCTGGACAATGTTAAGCTGTCAGTGTGTCACAATGTGTTGTAAATTTAAATTGAAATAAATGAACTCTAAATTACCTTTTACTATCCGTTTCAATCTTTTTTTTTTCTTCAACACTGATTTTGTTGGAGTCATAGCACCATCTAAATTAAGCGTAGGATCTGAGCGATGATACCAGGTTTTCCTGAAACAGTCAAATATTCAAAAATTTAGTTTAAAAAATAACATGAGAAATAGGTTTTCATATGCATCTGGATCTATTATTTAATGTAAGACAGAATTGTTGATGTCGGAGATGATGGCGCATTGGGCCAACTGTTGTATTTACATTTCGCTCCAGATTTACCTTATATTTACTCAATAATTTTATATTTTGCAGAAATAAATAACACGAAGCTTCATATATTATTTTATATGATTTGACAAACCTTTCAGGAAATGATTGGAGCAAATTTTAGAATACTTCGTCGGCGCATCTTTTTGCTTTATGTTAGAAATCCACAGTATTCGTTGCTCTTCTGTCAAACTCTTCGTAAATTCTCCTTCTCATTCTCTGACAGATGGAATTGAATAAAATCCCAAGCTATACCTTTGGTTTGCACGATTACTGCAACCATTAATCCAACAAGAAATTACCATTTCTGTTCTAAATTTAGATTGTTTACATATAGGTCCATTGAACCATTGAACTGTATTGTTTGCCAATCAAAATGGCGGCCACGGTAGACTGCACAACGGATGATGGGAAGTCATGACGTCACATCACAAATAAAAGGCCAGGCTGCATATCTATAAACTCTGACCAGACAATTGGTCTCTAATTGGAGAGTCTTCATTGAAATTTCAATCAGTAGCAATGTATGTTTTTAACATGAATTCCACACAGTTTAGGTTAAAAATCATGACAAAATAAATATCTTTCACCTGTATCCACACAAAACCAAAGTCATAGTAGAGTAAATTATTTGAACCGGGGCTCGGGTACCAGAATGGTGGTCTAATTATGTTGGTTTCCGGATTTAATGTTGCGTTTTGTCTGATCTTATAGTGTACATGTGACGGCAGTGTGTACATGTGATCATTTAAGTTCTCGAAAACCAGCCCTGAAATATAACAATAAAAATATGCTATCATTATGATAAAATATATACATGTAGCAAAGCATTAAGAAATTAAACTGCTTTATAAGGTATTATAAACATTACATCACATGCTCTAGACAAAATAATTTACTATGAAAAATAACAAAGAGCAATAACTCCAACATTATACAAAATAAAGTTCTAGTTCTTTTTCACTTCTTTATGAGATTTATCCACCAATAAAGTTTCATAACACTTATAACTTTTGAATTATGCCACAGTAAAAAGTAATATAAAAAAATACAAAGAGTTATTAAACCAAAATTATGCAAAAAAAGAGTTGTGATTCTTGTGTACTATATTTTTGTAATAATATCTATCCATCTATGAAGTTTCAAAATTGACAAAGGCAAATTACTTAAGCAAAAGAAAGTTATTGTTCTTGAGTTATGCCTCATTCAAAATTTGCTTATCTATAAAGTTTAAGTTTCCGTTCCTTGTTGAGATATGCTCTGTACAAAAAAAAAATTAAAAAAATTTCCAAGGGCAATAACTCCAATTATATGCAAAGGAATTATCATTTTTAAGCAAGGAACAAAAAGCTGTTTATCCATCTAGTTAGTTTTAAGTTGATACAACAAACAGCTTTTGAATAACGCTCTAGACAAATAAAACCCAACATCTTTATGCGGAAATTATTATTCTGCATTCACAAACACAAAAACATTAATTTTGTATTTGAAATTATAACTTGAGTCAGATGTGTCACCTTGTTAACATTATAAGTAGTCAGTAAGGCATTTTAAGGCGACATAAAAATAAATAACAAACCTGCCACAACCGTGACATTATCTTGGAACTGTCTGTTTAAGAAATAATATTCTAGTTCATCCTCAGTACTGAAGCTAATGAAGATATTCATATCTACATCTTTCACCTGGTTTAGCCAAGTGCAGGCCATATTGTCCAGAAATGAGAATACTTGACACAATTTTGAAATTTCCTCCTTGAAATTTTACACTGAGATGAACAAGTAGGCACCATTATATAGCTAACAGTTAACAAATGCTTTTGTGAGTATAATATTTTCGAAAAAGGGGAAAAGCAACAAAATAAAACTTCCAAAATTTACATATAGGGCTATTTACCTGTAGAATATAAATCTGTTGACTAATATTCCCAGACATCTTCTGCCACTGTTCAGCATAGTATGTTATATTACTGTACATTGCCATGCTTGAATTCACCTATAATAATAGAGGGTTTCTTAGTTTTACAATATTTAACTCCCTTGACAAAACTGGCAGCCATTTGGGGGTCATTATTTAAAACATGTATAATTGAAAAATAATGAAAATATGTTCACAATCAAGTATATTGTCAAATTCTTTACATAATAATATGATGAAATGTATTATTCAAACACCAATATCAAAAACATTTTATCAGATTACTTGGAGATGACAGACTTGTGTGAGATTTTGATCTTATCTGAAGCATAAATAGTAAACTTCGCTTATAACTATACTCAGCAATCTTAGAGTCACCTAGAATTAAAATTAAGTGAAGTGAAAAATAATGCAAAAAAATACAAAAGATAAATTTACAAATTATGACTATTTGTTAACTTTATTGTTTTTATTCATGAAAGTAACATATTTTCAAGTATGTTTATGTGCTTGAACATGTAACACACCTTTTGTATAATTTTGTTGGTAAGCGTATAATTTGGAGCAAAGAGAATTTTGGGATTGTTGTACAAGATATGTGTCAATATTTCTATCTTCTTCTCAAAACTTTCCATATCCATATCTAAAATTACAGTACGGTCCTTTATGCTTGATATTTTGGTCACAAATATTAAGTGAAGGTGCTTTATTTATCGATATTGTATGATACAGTTATATCACTATGAACGTTGTAATATTTGGTTATTTAACTTTGGTGATAAATATATTAAAGCTAGGCTGTTTGGGTTATTGTCAGTTGGTCTTCTACGTGTAAGCCCACCATGTACCTTGGAATATACTGACGATGGATATACCCAGACACATCGAAAACTGCAATATGGTACCCAAGTTACCCAACAATACGTTTTGGTACCCAGTAATACTAAAATATCCCCAGATGTTTCCCCTATATACTAATTTTTACATACATGTAGTACTTTTTGAACTTGTACTGACTAGTATACTCAAGGGGGTCTAGAAGAAGAGCCCGTGACAACAATAACAACAACAATCATTCTAGAAGAAGAGCCCGTGACAACAATAACAACAACAATCATGTTGCATGCTTCAGTTATTCAAAGAAAAATTAATATTAAACATTTATCTCATATATCTCATGTAACCCCATTAATATTAAACATTTATCTCATATATCTCATGTAACCCCATTGATATTAAACATTTATCTCATATATCTCATGTAACCCCATTAATATTAAACATTTATCTCATATATCTCATGTAACCCCATTGATATTAAACATTTATCTCATATATCTCATGTAACCCCATTGATATTAAACATTTATCTCATATATCTCATGTAACCCCATTGATATTAAACATTTATCTCATATATCTCATGTAACCCCATTAATATTAAACATTTATCTCATATATCTCATGTAACCCCATTGATATTAAACATTTATCTCATATATCTCATGTAACCCCATTGATATTAAACATTTATCTCATATATCTCATGTAACCCCATTGATATTAAACATTTATCTCATACATCTCATGTAACACCCCATTAATATTAAACATTTATCTCATATATCTCATGTAACCCCATTGATATTAAACATTTATATCATATATCTCATGTAACCCCATTAATATTAAACATTTATCTCATATATCTCATGTAACCCCATTAATATTAAACATTTATCTCATATATCTCATGTAAACCCATTAATATTAAACATTTATCTCATACATCTCATGTAACCCCATTAATATTAAACATTTATCTCATATATCTCATGTAACCCCATTAATAATTAAACATTTATCTCATATATCTCATGTAACCCCATTAATATTAAACATTTATCTCATATATCTCATGTAACCCCATTAATATTAAACATTTATCTCATATATCTCATGTAACCCCATTAATATTAAACATTTATCTCATATATCTCATGTAACCCCATTGATATTAAACATTTATCTCATATATCTCATGTAACCCCATTGATATTAAACATTTATCTCATATATCTCATGTAACCCCATTAATATTAAACATTTATCTCATATATCTCATGTAACCCCATTAATATTAAACATTTATCTCATATATCTCATGTAACCCCATTAATATTAAACATTTATCTCATATATCTCATGTAACCCCATTAATATTAAACATTTATCTCATATATCTCATGTAACCCCATTGATCTCCTACAGACTTTACATCTTGCAGTAAACAGAGTAAAAATACTTACCATGATGTAGAGGGACTTTGCTGCTATTTTGGTGCGAGTTGTTTTTGTTGTCCGACAGCGCCACAGTAGAGGTTCAATATTCCGTCATATTGAATTAAAATGTTTCATCCTCTTCTTCTCAGATATTTCTGGCTATATATGAAATAAAGAAATATAAACATTGGTTTACCTCATAGCATGCTGAACTTATGCTCTTCTTCTTAGATATTTCTGGCTATATATGAAATAAAGAAATATAAACATTGGTTTACCTCATAGCATGCTGAACTTATGCTCTTCTTCTTAGATATTTCTGGCTATATATGGAATAAAGAAATATAAACATTGGTTTACCTGTTAGCATGCTGAACTTATGCTCTTCTTCTTAGATATTTCTGGCTATATATGGAATAAAGAAATATAAACATTGGTTTACCTTTTACCCTACTGATCTTATAATGGACTTGTCAAGCTTTAGTTTAAGAACAGTCCATTTGTTATTTAAGGTAATTCAGTATCAATATATATATATATTGAGAAGGCAACAAAATATGTCTGGTCAGAATGCACATACTTGAAGGGTTAAACAGTATAAAAACTAAAACCAGAATAATTTTATATGTGTTAAATAAACATATACATGTAAATAACCATTAATTACCAGAGATTGTGAGGAATATAATATAATATATATACTGAATATAATTGCTTAACTTAAAGACTTATAAATCAACAATTAAATGATAAATTACATAATTAATATGAAATTATCCTTCGAAATGTAAATTATAATTTACTTAAATTTTATAAACAGATACAATATACAAGTAGTGACCCAGGTAAATATTTACACTTAAACTCACCAATATACAATACTAACACCTAGGTAATAAGTGATTCACTTGACCAATTTCACACATACACAGTCATACAGTTCCACAATGATGCTGCTCCTCTCACAATGATGAAATCTGTCCTCAGATTGATCCACGCAATAACCAATCAATCCAATACCAACGACACTGTGCCAGGCCTCGACATTAGCGGTGGTCCGTTGGTCCGAGACCACCTGATTTTGGCAAGGACCACCTTATTTTAAAAGACACTGGTCCGTCGGACCAGTTGAATTATCTGGGTGGTGCAAGGCTCATTTGGAAGTATGGCGATTTGGTCAAAAACATGTTATAAACTTGGTGTTTAAAATCATTTGTCCGATAAACATGTAACTATACGGTTCATGAATCTCTCATCAGTTCAAGAAGTTTTTAAGTCATCAATAACTTTCATTTTCAGGCGCTTAAATTTTGTTTATGCAAGTTAAAAGAGGTAAGAATTTGTGATATTAATTTAGGTTTAAAAATCATTCAAATGATTCCATTGCTAGTAATTATGATATTGTATGGAACATTGGATGAACTTAAATTTCAGATACTTGAATAATGGCAGCAAATGAAATGAAATGGAAAAAAATAACTTGTAATTCTTTGCTACTTATCTTTATTTTAACGATAAGAGATCCATTTCTTCCAGAGTTAAATTACTTCAAAAGGTTAAAAATACTCAGTGTCAAAAAATAAATATCAACCAACAAGCAGCAGGGAGGTAAAAATTCTGTATGATAAGCTTGGAGAAAAATAAGTTAAACTATATTTAACGTTGGTATTATTATTTTTTTTATCCTTAGATATTTCCTTGTTTTTTAAAGACAAGAATTAGATAATCAGATTCTAAATAGTTTTATTAAAAATGTTAATCTATAAAAGAAATTGATCATGATTATAAGAGTTAGACGTACCATGTATCAGCAATGCATATTTGAATAACAGTAAGAAAATAAGACAGATACAAAATTAATGGTTTCACTATTTCCTAACTTAAGTTGGGAGAGTAGTCGTTTCAATATAACAATAACATAAGTACAAACCCTATTATGTATTTTTGAATGAGATAAAGAAAACCAGATAACTTTACGATAGATAATACCTACTGCATGACTTGCTCTCCTACATTTCTAATTAGATGAAAAAATATATATCTAAATATATCTGTTTTCTTTACTGTAAAAGGAAATTATACATCTTTGTCATCAATTCAAAGCATTTTTTTCTAAATCTGCAGTCAAAGAGTCAAAATTCAAAAACAATAAAATAATAATATAGTAATAATAATTGACCACCTGACTTCTGGAAGGACCACCTAAATTTTAAATCTAGTGGCCCGGCTTACCACCTGCTAAAAAAGTTAGTGTCGAGGCCTGTGTGCGACGTCAATCCACACAACTATGCCACGCCAATCCACACCACTGTACGACAATCCACACCACTGTACGACAATCCACAAAACTATACCACTTCAATCCACACCACTGTACGACAATTCACACAACTACACCATACCAATCCACACCACTGTACCACAATCCACAAAACTATACCATGCCAATCCACACCACTGTACGACAATCCACACAACTATACCACACCAATCCACACCACTGTGCAACGTCGATCCACTCCACTGTACGTCAATCCACACAACTGTACAATGTCAATCCACACCACTGTACGACAATCCACACAACTATACCACGCCAATCCACACCACTGTGCAACGTCGATCCACACCACTGTACGACAATCCACACAACTATACCACGTCAATCCACACAACTGTTACACGTCAATCCACACAACTATACCACGCCAATCCACACCACTGTACGACAATCCACACAACTATACCACGCCAATCCACACCACTGTACGACAATCCACACAACTATACCACGCCAATCCACACCACTGTACGACAATCCACACAACTATTCCACGTCAATCCACACCACTGTACGACAATCCACACAACTATTCCACTTTCCGTTCAGCACTACTTACTCTGCTTTGATATCCATATGTGGTATGAAAGCACTTAGATATTTTTTATACAATGGTATTAGTAATGATTTTCCCTTGTCGTAATGACAATTTTTACGCTTTGGTGATACAGCTAAAAATATCAAAACCAACTGATTAAGTATGCAAAAATGGCAGATCAATATTTTTGGACAAAACATGCATCATTGATAAGCAAGTGAAATCAGTTTGATATATTTATTTTATAAAGTATAGCTCTTACAATTGTAGTGTAACGCTCAGACCTGACTACTCAATATGAATAAGTCAACACAATATCATATTTATAAACGTCAGATATATGTATTTATTTAATATATAGAGGATATTCAAGTTTTTTCTATAAATACATGATTTATTTTCATTGAGTGGTATGAAAATAAATATTTCATGAGTGGCGGTAGCCACGAGTGAAATATGGTAATTTTCATGCCACAAGATGAAAATAAATTATGTATTTATAGAAAAAACTTGAATTTTCTGTTTATTATGTACATTTTTTCTCTTTTTTGCGATAAAATTTGAAAAAACTTTCCCTTAAATTTTGTGTACTGGTAGAATTTAAAAAGAAAGTAGTCCGGCAAGACACCAGTGAAAATACGGAGAAAATATGTTTCACTGCAGTGAAAAATAAATTTTTACAGTGAAAATACGGAAAATGAAAATACGCATTTTATTTCATCAATATTTCTCAATATTTCATTTATAAGTATATAATAAAAAATGTTATTCTATAAGATAAGACAATTGCTTAACCAATGTCTTTAATAATTTCACAATTCTTATACAAATACGTAAAACAATAAGAATCAATGTCAATTGCGTATTTAGCATAATTTAACCAAACAATTAAATAAACAATTATGTTTGCACGATATAGGTACAAATCCCCGCTTAAGTGATGACATGCCCATCAATTAACTAAATTAAGCATAGTGTCCGGTGACAGCTCATTATATTAAATATATCTGCCTATGTATTGTTGACTAATTACCGGCTAATTACCGTTATCCTACACAATAAATGTCATTTTGAGATAAAAATGATACGTTTCCAAATCAATGAATTCCATGACTAGGAATGAAAATCCAACCTGATTTATTTGGCAATGCTAAACAAGTAGTTTACAAATTAAACAAATAATTAAACTTTTTTTTTTTTTTTAAAGGAGTCACTTCTCCAAACTACAACGTTACACAATTCTCTTCAGA